TGAAACTATTAAACTTTTACTTTGATAGATACTTACATGTTCAGCTCTGAGAGCTCCGCCCAATGATTTCTTCAAGTGATGCACTGACTCTAATACCGGTAACGAATTTCAGAAAGAATAAAAAAATAAATAAAAAGTTAATAACGCGACCGTGTATATATCCGGCGAACAAAATCACTGACTCTACCTTCGCGTAATTTATTGTGAATTTAGTATATATGTCTACTTTAAGAGCTGTATTGCTCTGAAAAACAAGAAAAAAACCTTGTACGCAAAAAACACTGACTCTACCGACCGCATTGCGCGCGGTCAACATCTCTGGAAATAAAAACTGTTCGTTAGCAGGGAGGAGGGGGGCGTGTTTACTTTTTTTTTCGTACCGAGTGTTCGTCAAGAAAATACTGTATTGTTGGAGAAATGCAGAACCTTATGTGACTACACATTTTACATTAACACAAATATCAATAATTATCAAGATTAATTTACGTCACAATGAAATTAATTTGTGAAAAGTAAAAAAAATAAAAATGTTTGTTATTAGAGTTAGCAATTATTACTATGTTAAGAATTGCGTAATATATCGCGGTTTATAAATATTCGAAAATGTTTGTACGAAGTAAAATTCCGTGGCTAAACTGAACCATAAGCAACAGGTAAGTAGTCGATTCTACGTAAATAATTTTAGCGAATATTTAAACTTGCGACGAAAATTGTATGTATCGGTAATTGAACTCGACATAGGGATAGTAAAAAGGCTGGAAGAATAATATTAACGATTCTACAAGACAGAAAAAATATCGCGACCGAAATGCAGCGAAAGGTGCAAATTATTTCAATAAAATCAAACGACTTTATGTAATTAAAAATTCCACATTACAAAGCAAAGTTTGAAACGATCAAGCCACGAATTCTTTTGTAAACTATGTAGAAATAAATTACGCCCGAAAGAAAGAAGTTTAATCTGTTCTTCTTGCATCTTAGTATATTGCTCAGTTAATTATAACGTTTATATAAGTATACTTAGTTATACCCTCCTGTAATTATACAATAAATGTGTACCATGTATTACCATACATTGTTACATACCCACGTAAAATCAATGATATAAAAAGAAAAAGAAATATATATACATACGATCGGCTTTGTAATAATAAATTAAATATTACCAATTATGCATCAAACCCATAAACGTTGCCCTGAGATTAGTCTGTTCCTGTTTCTCTGCTCTCTTCATCGACCAGATATCTTAACAGAAGAGAAATATTAATTTATAACATGTGTATTGAATAGAAACAAAATTGCGTCATAATTAAATAATTACTTTAATTCGAACTCTATTGCGGAAGTTTATGATATGACTGTGTATTAATTCATTAAGCAAAAGTAGTAAGAGAGTGTAGTAATCGTAGGATAATCACCAGAAATGATAGAATACGCGAATGTGAATAACACGTCTTGTCGACTCGAAGCCCGGTAACTGAATGACTGATTTCCCCCCCCCGTGATATCGTCCTCTACAACTAATGCTAACACAGAGTCACCTTTGTGTTTATGTTTCGGAAATTTCAACGGAAATAGCAATTCTGAGAATTTAACATAGAAAAACTATGCCTCGAGGCAGCCGTGCTCGGTTGACTGCTTGGGTCGCCAGTGTTTACGAGTTTTTATAAACACAAGTTTCGCGATATCGTATGTTCTTCATGTCGAAGCTACGCACGATGCGATTGAAATATTCTTCGATTTTATATAACAATTCACGTCCCATCTGTTCAACAGCAATAAATTAAAAAATTATGAGGCCACTTACATAATTACTGGAACGAATTGCTTCTATCAATTTCCTGCCTCTTCAGTCGATTTTGAATACAAAAACCTGAGAAATAGAATAAAAAAACGTTTAATTTAAGGAAAATTAAACAAGTATTAGCTAAAAGAAACAATTAGAACATTTAGAGATTAATAAATTAAATTTATAATAATACCTTCTTATCAGGCACGTAACTACGTTCACTCTCTACGGCGTCCAAAAGTAACTGACGAATCAACATGTCGTTGCTAGGATACTGGATATAGGAGTGGGGGTACCCTCTATTCGAAATAGCTCACTTATTCGAAAATTTTGAAATAAATTAATCGTCCAGATACCCCAAAGCTCCTTCAACGCATTTTAGTTGTTCAGACACTTAATAATCTCCAACACAATTAATGTCCACGCCTTAATTTGTTAATTTGATTTATGTTAGGATACGTGTTCATTTGCGAGTAAAAGTATCGCGAATTATTCTTGAGAGTGAAATTTGTTAGTACACAGGGTACTGAGAGTGCTAGCAGAAAACTGGACATATATTTGAGAGTACTCTCGAGAGCAACTATCTTAATTGCGCAGTAATTACTTTTAGCCTTTAAAAGGTCTCTTGTCACACGAAACACCTTGTTTAAAGTGTATGGCAGTACAAATTTCGAAAAGACGTTTAGTATTCCAAACGTTCGGTATTTCAGACGTTCAGACGTTTTATAATACGTCAATCTGCTGTTATAGCAAGAAACTCTTTGAGAGTACTCTCGAGAGAAACTATCTAACTACGCAGTAGTCATTTTTAGCCTTTAAAAAGTCTATTGTTACACGAAACACCTTGTTCAAAATGATTAGCAGTGCAAATTTCGAAGAAACGTTCAGTATTGCAGACGTTCAGACGTTTTGTAATATGTCAATATTTGCAGTTAAAAATTCGACAATCCGACCGATATAAAACATCAAATTGCAGAATAAATCAACGACATACACTTTTCAATATCACTTGTATTCACTTTAAACTTACATAAACACAATTGCTTTCAACATAAACGTTCGTTTTGCACATGATTCTCTCTACGTTTAAGAACGGTGGTCGGGAGTGTTCGGTAACGCTCGGATCTATTCGGTCAGCGATTCTCTTTTCGAGTATCCTGTATACAAAACATTCCATATCAAACTGGACACTTTCTGTCACTATGTCGTAGATTTGTTTCAAACTCAGCACAATTATTGACATATTAAATGTTAAACTGTTAAAAAATGGAGTCAAATTTCTGATTACCTAACAAGGGAACATATCGAAGTGATAATTGTGGGCATTGTAATCTTATTCTATGCTGAATCGGTAACGTTGGGAGCAACACGAAAATGGTAAGGGCTCTCTCGGCCCTCATGTCGCGGACACAAAGTTCCATAAGATGTTAGATCTATCCTGTATCTCGTTTGTGATTGAATCTCTCGTGTGCCCTACGTTCTTTGGTGCAGGAAGGCTTATCGGCTTCTAGAATCATCTCCTGAATTTTTTCTCAGGAGTAGCTGAACACCCTGCATATACGTCCATGTAAGTAATTAATATACAAGGTATAGGGAAAGTATAGAATTGCAGACGAGGTATAGACTGTGATTGAATGGAAGGACTATCGTAGGTAGTTATATAACCAACTTTAGATATAATTATATACAACTTTATCGACTGATAGCTATCAAACAGACCAATTATAAATCCTATTTTACATATTCTACATCTGGGCTATAATGGAGGTTATTCAGTTTTTTTCAATGCTTTGTACTTTTACATATAACTGACACATTTTTATGTTGTACAAGTAATGCAAGAACTACAAAGCAATGTTTGCTATAGTAACGAGTGAACTATATTATACTAACAATTTTGCCATTTTATTATATAAAGCTATCATTTACATATTTTTATATTACATATATAGTATTATATGAATATTTTTATACAAAATTAAGACCTAATC